TTTTTTTTTTTTTTTTTTTTTTTTTTTTTAAACCTTAGACCTTTTGTTTTTAGAGCCTGTCTGTGTAGCTACTGCCATGTCAGGGACCATTGTATGATACCTCATAATTCACTACAACGGGGTTTCATACATGAAAGACAAAACCAGTTTAAAACAAGTCTCCAACTCTGTATTTTGCTGTGAGGAGAAGCCCTGGCTGTCCTTACATAATGAGCCTGACCTTCTGCTTGCAGAAACAGGTCCAGAAAGAATAAAGACCATTTTGTTTTCCAAAGGCTTTAAAAAAAAATTGCTCCCCCTTGAAGTTATACTTTTATATTTTGGGGATAAGGAAATAAAGGGATTATACTGTGATTTTTGTTACAAAAGTGCTGCTCTGCAGGTAGCAGTGTTCTGAGCCTGTTTAAAAAGAACCAGAGGCTGGGACACAGGGTGGCCAAACCAGCTGCATGCAAGCCTGTGCTGCTGTGCAAGATGTGTTTTCTTTTTTTGAAATGAGTTGCAGAGAAGAGACTGGGTTGAAATAAAGCTGGGAGAGGGCACATTTAGTTCTGTTTGCTCCTAAAGCTGGTCTCTAGAAGCCTTGGCGCTGTCCTCAAGTCCTGGATCGCTCAGGGATTTCCTCCCCACTGTACTGCCTCTTCTGCTCCCACCTGCATGCAGTGCGCGGACCTGATTCACTGTAGGTAGGAGCTGGGCCAAAAAGAGAAGGAGCCTGGGGGCTAAGGCCAGCTGGGCAAAGGGCCAGGGCCATAACCATGTTGTTAGGAGTGGGGATCATCTCTGGGTACTCCAGGTATTTCTTTATTCCCCCACCTTCCTTTCTGCTCCTCCTCGGGAGGTGGGAGGCACCTGCCCCTGTCTGCTCTGCCTGCCTTTATTGCTGCTGCAGCATCAGGAGCCCTTGTCTCTGTGCGGCCCCGGAACGACTGTGCTGAGGGCGCGGTTCCCCGGGGGAGCGTAGGGACGGACCAAGCCTCGCTGCTTTCCCCGCTGGAGACGAGCCGCCGCTCCCAGCGTGTCCGCCAGGGGGAGCTGCTGCCACAGCGGAGGTCCCTACGGTGCTCACGACGCATGCGCGGGGAAAATGACAGGCGCCTCCTTCGTGCTGGAGGTTGGAGTCCCATCACCGCCTACTCCCATTCGCTGTGCTTTGGGCTCCCTCCACACTTGTCTGAGGACACAGAGCAGAGTGGTTTTGCCTTCCTGACTCTTCCCCAGACTGGTTGGTGCAGTGACATATGGCCCCGTGGATGCATAGGGGCCCTGGACTCCTGGCAGGTGCCAGGCACTGTGACATCCTTGTGCTTTGGGACAGGAAGCAAACTCCCTGCTCTCCCCACCCAGCTGCTGGCTCTGTGGAGAGGCTAAAGGCACATCTGTTCTCCTCCAGCCCCAGCAGGCACATGCTTTCCCTCAAGCAGCTTCAACATGGACAGGCGTGCAATGCCCGACTGTTCCTGTAAAGCCCCACAACAGCCCCTGCAAGTGGGGCCCCTCTGCACTAGCAGTAACGCACGCCTGGCATTCCCCTGCGCCAGGGCCTGCTCATGCACAGCACCCGGTTCATGTGCACTGTAGTCTGCTCCAACCAACACACCAACAGCAGGCGCAAGCACTGCTTCACTGAGATGTTGCTGGCACCATACAGCAAAAGCAGCCTAGTGCCCCGTCCCAGATAAGGAGAGACTAAAGGAGGCTAGGCCTAGTCAGCTTCGAAAAGAGACGTGTGGGGTTTACAAAATAGTAAATGGCGAAGAGAACATCAATAGGGATTTATTGTTTACTATCTCTCACCATACAAGGCAGGGGTCACAAAATGAAATGAGTAGGCCATAAGCGTACACCAAACAGAAAGAAGTTTTTTCACCCAGCGTGGTGTTAAAGTGTGGGACTCACTGTCACCCAGTGCAGTGGATGCTGATAATTTAGCCAGATTCAAAAGGGGATTGGATATGTTCTTGGAGGAAAGGATCATCAGTAGCATTGCCAACTCTTCAGGATTGCCCAGGAGTCTCCAGGAATTAGATATATATCTCTAGGAAACTACTGAGAGTCACCCAGGATATAAATGATAGGGTATTCATTAAAATAAATATTACACGTTGAATCTGATTTATACAGTAGTCCCCCGGGTTTTTAAAATGTAATAGTAATAAGAAAAACATAAGAAAAAATTTTGGGGGCTAGGGGCTGATGATCTTATGAGGTCCCTTCAAGCCTTAATGTCTATGAAATGTGCATTTGCCTTCCGGACACTAAGTCTACACACCGTAATCTGTAATTGATATATGCAAGCACGCGGCATATTCATATTGTGTGTCACGCGCATGCTGGTGTTCTGGAAACCTCCCAGAATAGATTCAGAGTTGGCAACCCTAGGCATCAATAGCTATTCAGCATGGGAGTAAGGGGTACAGCCTCTGGATCAAAACTTCCTGGACCTTAAATGCTGGCTGCAAGTGAGAGAGGATCGGGAAAAGAACCCTGGTCACCCCCAGTTCATTCTCCCTTTCAGCATCCACTCACTGCCCCAGTGTGAAACAGGAGACTAGTTGAAACAGGGCTAGGGTCAGACCCAGTAAATGGCAGTTGTGATGTCCTTAGCCCTGTGTGTGCATAGGGCATGTTTCCAGTCAACACAGGCTACGGGGCTGTGCAATTTGTTGCTGTCATGTATGTCATGGAAATCTGGAAGGGTGTGAATTCTGCCTGGCTGCCTTCAGAGAGCAAAATGGACCCTACAGGTGCTCCTGTTCCCTCCATGGCTCAGGGTATGACTCATCCTCCCCAGGGCCCTGTGCCTCAGCCCCTTGTCCTCCCACACCTGTCTTTTGTTTGAGGGCTGGATGCCTTTGCTTCTGCTGTCATTCTTGCTTGCTACCTTTGCTCTGTAAGGAGACAGAGCAGCAGCTCTCGTGACTCCCTCTCTGTACCATTGTCAGTCACTGGCTCAAAAGGCTGTCATTCCCCAGGACTTCTACCTGCAGTCGGGTTGAGGTGGGGGAGTAAGTGGCACAAGGGGGAACCCAAACCCAGACTTTCTAGTGTCAGTTTTTTAAAGGCATCTGGAGATTTAATAGCTGTTTGTCCTGAAATGGGTTTTTAAAGGACTTGCTGACAATGCGGACAGGCGATGGGTAGTTGAAGGTGGGGTTGGTACCTAAGAGACTTAGGCAAACCGTGCAGGTAGGGGTAATGGTGAGTCAGCTGGATTTTAGTTCTCCCCCAGAGTGGGGGCTGCTTTTTAGATAGACTATAAAGAACAAGGGCCCTGCTCAGTACGACCCTACCAACTATGAAACTATAAAACAGGTGCTGGCCTAGCTCAGCCTACCTCCATACTGTGCCCCAGCTGCTCCACTTGTATGAGATTTTTCTACACTTTTGGTCCTCAGCTGTTGCAGTATGTTGTTAAATAGCCATCATGTCCCCCACTAGAAGTGACTACAGGCACCCTAGGTAGTTCTTAGCCATCTCAGATGTACAGTGTGGCTTAGGGTTTTTTGTAGGCCCTTTAAGATCCTGGGACAGAAGAGCTTGTGAAGGGGAAGGCTTAATATTTACACAGGAAATGCATTACTTTCCCCTCCTCTCTGCAGCTGAGGCTGTGGAGTGTGGGGGGGGAGGGGGGGAGGGCAGCTGCCTGGCGCTGGAGGTGCTCTGCGGACCATCAGTGACAGCTTCACCTGCAGGCTGTCCCAGGCTCAGGCACAGAGCAGGAGAGAGGAGGCTGGATGGGGCTGCAGCTTTGTGCCCTTTCCTATCCTCTCCTCTTTTTTGTTCTCAGGGCCTCCATGCTCTTCCTCCTTTCCCTTACTCCTGACTCCGC